GCTAAGCTGGGGGCCGGTTTCTGGAATCCAGATTGCTGGCTGTTGCCTGCTGATTCATGTCCTTGCTGGCCTCTGGGCTACAAAGTCTCCCTCACCATGCACAGCGCTGAGCTTCGGATTCCAGGCTCCCAGATGCCTGCGATAAACTCAGGGCTTTTCACCACCCCCCACTCTCACCCTCCCTACCCCCTGCAGTCGCCTGCAGTTTGTAGGGGCCTCTTCATGGGTGTCACCTCCCAGGAGAGGCCTCCCTAGCTCCCTCCCTGGCTCCCTCCCTGGCCTCCATCTTGCTGATTGCTATAGCTGCTGCTCTTTCCTTCCAGGGTATTCATGGGTGCTTGCGGGTGTGTGTTTGTTTGCATGGTTATTTCGTTACTGTCTGTCTCCCTGGCCAGACAGTAGCTTCTCGCAGACAACAGTTTTTCTGGTCACCTTTGCAGCCTAGTTAGCAGGGGGTCCAACATACAGCTGACCTGCAGAAAACTTGGCTGGCTGGCTGATGGATGGGCGGGTGGGTGGATGGATGAGTGGATGGAACTGCCCACTTCTTCATGGAAGTGACAGATCACAGCTAACAGAAGCACCTGCCTAGAGGATGCTTGTCCTGTGCTGGACCTGGCTTACCAGACTCCAGCTCCCTCCTGTGCAGTCTATAGTCAGCTCCTGCTGCCACTGACCGTTCTTGGGCTTGCTTAGAAGCCAGGGCGGGGAAGAATCTATATGACCTTGTTTTAGATCCAGTTACATTTTTGACCCAGAGGCAAATATGCTATCATAGATCCCTGACTGATGGGCAGTGATACCCACACCTGTCCTGTCCTGGCTCCCAGCTCTGAGCACTGGGACATTCATTCCCTGAACTGAGATGCTCATCTGTGCATCCACCTCCAGGCCTCCAGCCTGACTTTTGGAACAGGAACAGATTGCATAGATTGGCAGGTTCTCTTCCCACTTTGTTGACAGGCATACCGAGCCCAGCTTTGGATTCCTTCCTAGGCAATGGAGTTAGAGGTCAGAGTCCCAGGACCTTCCCCCTTCCAGAGGAGATGGGCTCCCTGACCCAGAATGAGTAGCTACTTCCTGGAGGGAAGAGCATCTACCATGGGTTATCTCTAGTGCCAGGCTGGGAGCCTCACACCAACCTGGTTTACTGTCAACCAAGCTGAAGAGCAGGAGAGTCTGGTCACATGCCCCTGGCTTAGGGTGGCTGGTGGCATGGAGCCCGGTTCTGTAGAATTCTTGAATCTTAACCTTAGAGTTTATAGGCAAAGCAATCCCCAGTACCAAAAAAGATGTCATCAAAACCACGTGGTTCAGGACTCAGCCTGGTGGGCGTCCTCTGCACTGCGGACTGCCACAGGCTCCATCCTCTTTTGAATGACGCACAAACCACACCCAAATCCCGCCCATTAGCCCCTGGCCACGCCCCACTCCGACGCCCCGCTATAGGCCCCGCCCCCGCAGGCAGCGCGGGCCTCCCATTGGCCTCCGTTTCCATGGTTACTCGGGGCCTGCAGAGCTGCTGGCTTCCCGACACGTGTCCCACGGAGCCGCCCGGAATTTGACAGGGGACCATGTGCGCGGCAGCGCGGGAGTCAGACAAAGGCCGGGGAGACGGTGGGGGACGAAGCTCGGTGGAGAGACGAAGCCAGGCGGAGAGGCTGGGAGCCGTACACCTCCCACCTGCTGGACACCTCCTCTCTCCCCTCTTTTTATTTTGAAGAGGGGATTAAACAAAAGAGAAGAATTAATGAGAGAGTGAGGTGGGAAAGGATCAGAACCAGACCCTGCTCTCTCTCCTCCAGGAAAACCCCCTAGGCGAGCATCTACGAACACTGATCCTGATGTGCATCTCTTGGCCCTGGGCATCTCATCCCACCTTGACTTCAACCCTTGAGGTTCAAAGTCTGTTGTTTTTGCCTAGCTAGTTCTAGTAGGGAAAGCTTTACCGGTGTGGTTGTTTCCATACTTGAAGAACGAGGTCTAAGCAATTGTGGGAAAGGAACCTCTCACCACGACCTCCATGGTCCATCCATGCTCTGCTGCTGTTAGCGCCGCCATGCGTCCTCTCCCACCGGCGCTCCAGGGCTCTGGCCCCAGCGCTGTGGGCCACGGACTTGTGTCCTCTCACGCTCCCATTTCTCCTCTTGCAGCCCCTCACGGTTAGTCGCATGTCTTTCCGGCCCCCAACTTAGAGACCCTCTTTCTTCAGCTAACCCCCACCTCATCACCTGTGGTATCGGTTCCTTATGCTACCATAACAAATCGCTCCAAATTTAGTGTCATAAACCAACAGAGTTCTACAAGTCAGAGGTCAAAGCTGACTGAATTCAAATTGTGTGGCAGCATTGGGTGCCTTCTGCAGGCTGTGTGTGTGTGTGTGTGTGTGTGTGTGTGTGTGTGCACTGGGTTCCTTCTGCAGGCTCTGTGTGTGTGTGTGTGTG